TATATATATATTTTTCTGTTTTCCTCCACCCACCTAAGTACATTACATGCTTCCAAAATTCTGAGTTTTCATATACATATATGTTTCCCATATCACCTTTCCCCTTTGCTTCTGGGGGAGAGGGAATGGTGAGACAAATTGTCCTGTTTTTCTCAGGCTGAGAGGCCCAGGTAGGTCTTAAAATTAATAAAATCATTAACTGTGCTATGTCACATCGCTGCCCTCAGCTCTCCAGCTGACCCTCCTTAGGGACCGGTGAAATGAGATGAATTCAGAGAAGTGATGTGGCTTAAATGCTGTGAGATTTCTGCCTAGAAAAATGGGGAAATCCCCAAACTCCAAAAATTAGCTGGTGTTGTGCTCCAAGCACCTGTGCCCTGCAAGGAGATCTGGATCAGGGATTGTGCTGCTGAGCCACCAGAAGCCTTAAATTATTGTATGGCTCTGATTCATGGAGGTAGACCCAGCATGTGTTAAGTGGGAGGGTGAGATATTGCCTGGATTTCAGGTCAGCCTTCTCACACTCCTTAAAGCTTGGACTTGATGATCTTGGAGGTCTTTTCCAACCTTGATGATTCCATGGTAGCAGCAGAATTCCAGCTGGGCCCTGCAAGTCATCCTGATAAAAGCAAGAACCTGAGGAGGGGACTTTTGACATGGTTGTATTCCTTAAATCCATGAGAGCTGAGGGCAGGCTCAGGGGATGTGCTGTGGAGCTGTGTGGGTTCTCCTGCACCACAACCCAGGGAATCCTAGATCCCAGTTCAGCTCAGCTCTGAACCTGGGATGGAAATAAAAGTGTTTCCTGCTCTTCCGTTCGCTGTGCCAGGGCCGAAGATGACGGGAGTGGAGTGTGTGGAGGGAATGGCCTCGGGGCTCTACGAGGAGCTCTTTGCTGCTGTGGTCTCGCTCATCAACAGGTACCAAGGAGCTGCTGGGAGCTAGGGCTGGGGGTAGCAGCCCCTTCTCCAGCAGCACGGAGCATGTGGCTGATTCCTGCTGGAAAAACAGGCAGCTGTGTGAAAATCCTTGTGTGGGAGTGGCGCTGGTATTGTAGAATGTAGGGAGCCCCTAGTGCAGGGAATGATTGGCATTTAATTTTGATTGGCATTTGATATTGATTCAGAAGGCTGAACAATTGCTTTATTAAAACTGTACTATATTATATTAATATTATAATTATACCAAAGAGATACTATATAGGAGTGTTCCCTCTGTGACAAAACTAGCCTTTGTCCCCTCAAAAAGGAAAGAAGACTAGAAGTTTCTCTCTCTCTCCTTGATTAGGTGAAAAAGCCACTTTATAGGGCTAGGGGACTTCACCTCAAACTTAAAAATAACTAATTAGACAAGAGCCAAAAAGTCCCACCTAAGCTATTTACTAGGAAAAGAAGTGAACAAAAAAACTAATCACTTTTGTGAGATGTTTTACCAAGAGCAAGGACCTCCTGCACCTGGCTCGGTTTTTCTCTGTTTGTTATTTTGCCTTTTATTAAACTTTTTTGTTTCCAACACTACAACAGAAGCCATCCTGCTGATTTTTATGCCTCCGAAGGTAGCTGAGCTATCTTGGGTGTGTTATAGACCTCCGAAAGCTTGTAAGACCTAGCTCAAAAAAACTACTATGACTATACTATACTAAAGATATACATACTAAAGAAAATCTCATGACTGTCTCCAGACAGTTAGATACAGGTTTGGCTCAGTTGGCTAAGGAAACAAAACAATTTTCACTGGTGCTTAATTAATTAAATTACTTTAGGTAAATAATTTTATTGACACATTTTACATGTGCAAAAATAGTAAGAGTAGAGAATAGAGATAATAATTTGTGTTTTTTCTTCTCTCTGTGCTTCTCCAGAAAAAATCTTTGGGAAGCTGTGCCTGCTGCTCTCTGTGATGAGAGCTGAGGCTACAGCACTGGCACTGGGGACTGCAGTGTCCTGTGCTCCTGTGGCACTGTGAGGGCTCAGCTGGCACCACCCTGCTGCCATTTGTGGGTAAATCCTGGTGCTGTGTGTGGCTCTCCCCAGGTCCTTCTCCTCCCAGCACCTCTCCATGGGCTCCATTTCCATCGTGGACACCCCTGGCTTCCAGAGCCCACGGCAGCAACGGCGCGAGCGAGCAGCCACCTTCGAGGAGCTGTGCCACAACTACGTCCAGGAGAGGCTGCAGGGGCTCTTCTATGAGAAAACCTTCCTGAGGGAGATAGAGAGGTACAGAGAGGTGAGGAGCAGGGCTTGGGAGCAGATCCCAGCACCTGGGAGTGCCTTTGTGCCCAGGAGTCCTGCTGTGGTGTGAGTGAATAACACGAGGGCGTTGCTGGGAGGGCTGCAGCAGGGCTGTGGGAGCCTCTGTCTCCACCCCCTGCCTCAATTCTGAATCCTCTTGGCTGTTTCTGCTCCCTTGGCATCTTTGTGGAAGCTGCCATGGCAGGGTTGTTGGAATGAGATGATTTTTTCCCAACCCAAACCATTTTGGAATTCTATTATACGCTCGCTGCAGCTCAGCAGACTTTGTGCCTTCTGTTGGCGCAGCTGACTTTTTCCTCAGGTGATGAATAATAGAGGATAGAAAGGAAAATGATAAATTATTGCAGAAATAAGCTGCTGAGAAACCTACAGGCAGAGATGAACTTATTATAGGCTTGAAGGACTTCCCATAATGCCTCCAGCCCTGGGAAAAGAGCTGAATTCCTATGGTTTAACACAGACATCATTGAGTAAGGATAGATGTGCCCTTCCCTGGTGGTGAAGACTTCCAGATGCCATCCCATGACTGAAACCAGCTTTTAAATCATGTTTTCCAGGAAAATGTGGAAGTGTCTTTTGTCTGAAACAAGCTTTTAAATGATGTTTTCCAGGAAAATGTTGAGGTGTCTTTTGATCTTCCAGAGCGCTCTCCGCTGGCCACGCTGTCCATCATTGACCTGAGCTGCTCCCAGGTACCCTGTCCCCTCTGCATCCTGCAGTGAGGGCTCCAGAAAAAAAATGGGAGCATCCCAGAGCAACCTGAGGTGTTGCAGGGAGAGGGGGGCACTGCATCCACTTTGGAGTTCTTGCTTTTTAGTTATAAACACCCTCCCTAACTGAGCTCCGCGCTCCGTCACCCCTTCCATCCTTGGGTGATGGGACACTGCTGAGGGTGATGTGCAGAGCTGGATCAGGTTGGGGAAGGTCTGCTCTGGTCTGGGGGCACAGCTGGGCAGTGGGAGCAGGCTGTGGTGGAGCCCCCCGTGTCCCTCGGTATTGGAATTAAATACCAATATAGCCGGATGGAACGTGCCTGGGCTCATCTGGCCCTTGCTGCTTGGCCAAAGGTGGCAGCTGTGGTGGTTTCACCTCAGAGACACCTTTGGCTGGCTGGGTGCTGCAGCTGGGTGCTTGGGACAATCCAGGCATGCAGGAGCTCAGGTTTACCTCTGATGGAGAAGATTTAAGGCAAGGTGAAGGAAAGGAATCGGTTCTGATGGAGGTTTTGATCCAGAGCTTTATTCCTGGCCCACAGGCCTCTGAATGCAGCAACAGCTCCAACAGAATTCCCCAAACCATGTGATTGCTGTTCCTTTTAACCACAGGGAAATGGGGAGGGAAGGGGTTGGGAGCCACCAACCAGGTACAGGAGGGGAGGAAATCTCAGGGGACAAATGACACCTGGATGGCCCAATGTCCCCAGGGCCGAGAGGCATCTTTTGAACTCTGCCAATCACACCATGCCCTTCTGGAATGCCAAGATTGACACACAGCACTCAGCAGGGGTCAGGGAGGGGGAAAGAAGAGGTGATTGGCACACGTGGGGAAGGACTGGGGTAACTGAGGCAGGCTCTTACATCCCACCCCAACACTCAGCAGCCGCAGGTGCTCAAGGGCAGCACTGGGGATGCTCGCCGGGGGCTGCTGTGGATCCTGGATGAGGAGGTGCTGGTGCCAGGCTCTGGGGATGGCACTGCCTTCGAGCGCCTCTGCTCCTACTTCGCCACAAAGGCTCCCCACCAGGACGGTGAGTTGTGCTCGGCTCGGCTGCCCAGCCTCTGGCATCGCTGGGTTTGGGATTTTGGGGAGATGTGGATGATTTAACCCCTCACTGGGTTTTTCTCTGGGGTGCTGTCACTGCCACAGGTGAGGGGCACCTGCGCAGGTGCGAGCAGATGCTGCACTTCGAGATCTGCCACCAGCTGGGCACGGCCCCCGTGCGCTACGACCTCACGGGCTGGGTCAGCAAGGCCAAGTTCAACCTGTCGGCCCAGAATGCCATCCAGGTGCTGCAGAACTCCACGGTGTAAGTGCCAGCAGGTGCCACAGTGCCTGTGGGAGGGGGTTGGGGGTGCCCCTGCCCTGAGTTCAAACCTGCCCCAGCTCTGGAGACAGAGGGTGGAGTTGGGCATCCCTTGTGTGAACAGCAGGGAATGGTTCCCCACTGCCAGAGGGCAGAGTTATGTGGGATACTGGGGAGAATTTCCTGGCTGTGAGGGTAGTAAAGCCCTGTTCCATCTCTGGAAGTGTCCCAGGCCAGGTTGGACAGGGCTTGGAGCAACCTGGGCTAGTGGAAGGTGTCTCTGCACAAGTCAGAGCTGTGGGGCTTCCCCAGCAGCTGCCCAGGTTTTCCCTCTGCTTTGAGCAGCCTTGTGAATGAAATTGGAATTGAAAGGGAGCTGAAGTGCTGCAGGTGTCTGTGCACACAGGGGGATTTTAACCTTCTGCTTGCATGCTCCTGGCTCATTTGCTTTGGGCTTCAAACCAGGGAAGCTGTAACAGAGCAGAGAACACCTCCATGCTCCAACCAGGGAGGATGGAGAGCATGTGGGCGTCCCATCACCCTATTCCACACCTCAGAGCAGCACTGTGATGGTGTTCACAGGGGTCTCAGGTTGAGGGAAGAGACGAGGATCTGACTCNGAGCATGGGGGGATGTTTCCACCAAAATTTCTGAGACAGGTGAGATGGGTTTCAGGTTTAAATACACATTGAGCCCCCAAGCCCACACCTCCCTGCCTGCCCATTCACCACCCAGAGTCTTTGGTGGTGCCACACCTCCTGGTGGTCCTGGGTGGGCGTTTTTGATGAAGTAACATCATCTTCATTGATGAAGTAACATCATCTTCATCAATGTTCACTGCTTGACCCTTTCTTCTGGGCAGGCACAGTGGAGGTCCAAAACCAGGAGCCTGGTTCTTGCTGGCTCCTTTAATGAAAGGTTCTGCTTTATGGGTTTCAACAGTACCTGAGTTTTGCTTTACTGAATTATCTTTATGGCCTTTACCTAGAGACTAAATTCTTATGTGTTCTGTTACAAGTTGTCTCTACCTAGCAAGTTACATTCGTGTTAGAAACTGTGTTCTGCAGTTTGCATATTTGTTAAATAACCTATATATAACCTATATGTTATTATATATTTATATATAATATAATATAATATAATATAATATAATATAATATAATATAATATAATATAATATAATATAATATAATAATACTGTACTATACTATAGTATATATTACATATACCACATATGTATAAAATATTATATATAAATAGATATATTAAAATATATATAATATACATATTTTATATATATATTTTTCTGTTTTCCTCCACCCACCTAAGTACATTACATGCTTCCAAAATTCTGAGTTTTCATATACATATATGTTTCCCATATCACCTTTCCCCTTTGCTTCTGGGGGAGAGGGAATGGTGAGACAAATTGTCCTGTTTTTCTCAGGCTGAGAGGCCCAGGTAGGTCTTAAAATTAATAAAATCATTAACTGTGCTATGTCACATCGCTGCCCTCAGCTCTCCAGCTGACCCTCCTTAGGGACCGGTGAAATGAGATGAATTCAGAGAAGTGATGTGGCTTAAATGCTGTGAGATTTCTGCCTAGAAAAATGGGGAAATCCCCAAACTCCAAAAATTAGCTGGTGTTGTGCTCCAAGCACCTGTGCCCTGCAAGGAGATCTGGATCAGGGATTGTGCTGCTGAGCCACCAGAAGCCTTAAATTATTGTATGGCTCTGATTCATGGAGGTAGACCCAGCATGTGTTAAGTGGGAGGGTGAGATATTGCCTGGATTTCAGGTCAGCCTTCTCACACTCCTTAAAGCTTGGACTTGATGATCTTGGAGGTCTTTTCCAACCTTGATGATTCCATGGTAGCAGCAGAATTCCAGCTGGGCCCTGCAAGTCATCCTGATAAAAGCAAGAACCTGAGGAGGGGACTTTTGACATGGTTGTATTCCTTAAATCCATGAGAGCTGAGGGCAGGCTCAGGGGATGTGCTGTGGAGCTGTGTGGGTTCTCCTGCACCACAACCCAGGGAATCCTAGATCCCAGTTCAGCTCAGCTCTGAACCTGGGATGGAAATAAAAGTGTTTCCTGCTCTTCCGTTCGCTGTGCCAGGGCCGAAGATGACGGGAGTGGAGTGTGTGGAGGGAATGGCCTCGGGGCTCTACGAGGAGCTCTTTGCTGCTGTGGTCTCGCTCATCAACAGGTACCAAGGAGCTGCTGGGAGCTAGGGCTGGGGGTAGCAGCCCCTTCTCCAGCAGCACGGAGCATGTGGCTGATTCCTGCTGGAAAAACAGGCAGCTGTGTGAAAATCCTTGTGTGGGAGTGGCGCTGGTATTGTAGAATGTAGGGAGCCCCTAGTGCAGGGAATGATTGGCATTTAATTTTGATTGGCATTTGATATTGATTCAGAAGGCTGAACAATTGCTTTATTAAAACTGTACTATATTATATTAATATTATAATTATACCAAAGAGATACTATATAGGAGTGTTCCCTCTGTGACAAAACTAGCCTTTGTCCCCTCAAAAAGGAAAGAAGACTAGAAGTTTCTCTCTCTCTCCTTGATTAGGTGAAAAAGCCACTTTATAGGGCTAGGGGACTTCACCTCAAACTTAAAAATAACTAATTAGACAAGAGCCAAAAAGTCCCACCTAAGCTATTTACTAGGAAAAGAAGTGAACAAAAAAACTAATCACTTTTGTGAGATGTTTTACCAAGAGCAAGGACCTCCTGCACCTGGCTCGGTTTTTCTCTGTTTGTTATTTTGCCTTTTATTAAACTTTTTTGTTTCCAACACTACAACAGAAGCCATCCTGCTGATTTTTATGCCTCCGAAGGTAGCTGAGCTATCTTGGGTGTGTTATAGACCTCCGAAAGCTTGTAAGACCTAGCTCAAAAAAACTACTATGACTATACTATACTAAAGATATACATACTAAAGAAAATCTCATGACTGTCTCCAGACAGTTAGATACAGGTTTGGCTCAGTTGGCTAAGGAAACAAAACAATTTTCACTGGTGCTTAATTAATTAAATTACTTTAGGTAAATAATTTTATT